TGTGTGCCTTGGCACATTTATGATAAAGAATCTCTTTAGCAAAACAGAACTTGATCTCATTAGAATTTCAGAATAAATAAACCAATGAACTAATTTGGCTTCAATGTTTTTTTATGGATAGCTCCAAAAGGTGACGGATCATTTTCAACCCCCATCTCTTCTTATTATTAGAGAGATGAACTTCAATAAGCTAGTTGATCTCTAAAGTTTAAGGCTTAAATGTAGGACTATTTCATAGATGTGCTTACTGACTCCACAGAGAACCTGCCACTAACAAAAGACTAAGACAAAGGTCAAGGCACCATCAAACACTTGTCAATGACAAAATGCAAATCTTTTTTTTTGTTTTCACAGTTTGAATACATTCATAATGATGAATACATTTGTTTTTACAGGCTGGCTGTGAGAAGTTTGAAGGGGAAACCTGCACCAGGGAGTATGATCCAGTATGTGGCAGCGATGGAAAGGTCTACAGCACCGAATGTGTCCTCTGCCAGGAAAACAGGCATGTAAAATGTACTAATACACACTAAAACACATATGGAGATATCATTGTAGCATTATTATTTTCCAATGGGTGGGGTGAGTTTAGAAACTATATCTTATAGGATCATGTGTGTGAGTTGACTCTGACAGCCTGCAACCTCCAAAGTGTTGTTTAAAGACTGAACAAGGGAAACAAAATATGCTTATGATTTTATATGACCCCCCTGTGATGAGAAAATTAACACCATATGAATAGGCTACTAAGGACAACGTGTAAAGTGTATTTCATGCCAGTATCCAGTAGCTTGGGGTTTAGCCTGCAATTTAATTAATCGTGGTTGTATGAGTCTTCACAAGTGGGAACAAGGTCAACCAATTCAATGTCCTTTTACTCATTTAGTGTCAACGGTAGTTGATTTGTAAGAAACTAACACCAATCACTGCTCTCTGCCTCCACCTGGTGGTCAAAAACAACTCTGTCCCAGCTTTTATTTTGAAAGTAGAAGGAAGGGTCTAACAGTAAAACCACACACAGATTATGTAATGCATGACAACAGTGTGAATTTATTTTAAGATTGTTTCAGTAAAATCTGTGAAACTGAATGCAGTTTATTAGATTTGTGTGTACCGTTCTGCTACACATGCAGACAGACATAAATTAATCCACAATGCTGTAACACACATTTGTTTTTCTCCAACAGAAGAGAGAAGACGAATGTGAAAGTGGCAAAGAAAGGGACATGTTCTCCTTAACCGTATATGGAGCCCAGT